CATACACGCAACAGAACCCATGGAGGCGTGCACTTTGGTTCTAATTAATGTGCCAGACTGCATAAACATACACTGAGAAAATAAATTGGCACACTACGACACTGAAGTGCACAATCTGTACTGGTCAGCGTGGGTTGTGTGCACATAGCACTCTGTGTAAGTGCACAAAACTAATCACGTGGGCGGAGAAAGATTGTGTCATTTTACACACCCCAAACTCCGTTGGCGTGAAGACCGTGTGTGCACCCATGAGGTTATAATTGTGCCAGCCAGGCAATACAAACCCTGAGAGCGTGCACATTGGTTCTAATGTTTGTGCCACACTACTTTACTATATACTATGTAAATAATTTCCTAATGCTCCACAGGTCATGACGGCTCATCAGGGAGTTCAACCGGGTGTTTTATGAATATTTCACCAGGTTCAACGAAGTACTGGACTCCAGAGTGTGAGGAGTAAATTAAGCCTTTGGTGGGGCAACCGTTCTCATTATTGGAAGCAGGAATTGAGTTCTATACAACTTACACAACTATTACTGGATTTGATGTGCGGCACGTGACTAAGAAAAAAGATCGGCAAGGAGAAATCACATGGAAGTATGTGTTGTGTTCACGTGTTGGCTTTAAACTCCATACCGGCGAAGGGAACAACATAGGGGTGCTGCCAGATGAAGCCAGAGCCCCATAAAAAAAAGACAACGTGTTACGAATAGGGTGGGATGCAATGCGAAATTAGTATTGAAGAGATTAGCAAACAGTAACGGTTATGTAGTATTCTCATTCGAAAAAACGCCACACCCACTACTTGTGCACAACAGTTTCTAGGTTTACCGTCTTGTCAAACACACACTTGTTCTATTTATTATGACACACACTGCAAAACCCAAGTGCACAACTCCACCTGTCACATCCACCTAGGTTGTGTGCACACTCAACTTACAGTAAGTGCACACACGGAAATCACGTCTACGGAGAATGGATGTAGGCGGGATTTCCATGTGTGCACTTACGGGATAATGAATGTGCCACACATGCCACTTGAGAAACACTGAGCGCTTGCACATTGGGCCAATTGTTTGTGCCACCTAACTTAACCAAAATGAGTGTAGTTCTAGGGGAATCTACTACTTATTTCCAATACCGATCATTCAAACCTGTAAAACACACATCGACATGGATGGCGTGATTAACTTGAATTCCAAAGCAATCTATCTACTACTTGTATGTATGTACAAATAAATGTAAATGTATTACTTACAATCCATGCACAATCATTGGTATTATGTTGCAGGAGATCAGACCATGAATCAAAACATAAACTGTGTGCTATAAAATGTAGAATGATCAGTGTGTGAAAAAATATATATATAAGAAGTTGGTGTGCACTAAGGTTGAAGTATGCGTGACACAATGTGCAAAAATACTGCATTATTATTTCAGAAGGTATTTGAAACCTATGAAGATCATGACAGTTCATTTAAATATGATTTGGGTGGAAGTGTACCTAATTTCATGGATTGGGAATCCATTGAATATTTGGTTAAGATTCTGAAATCTTTTTATGAAATGACTGTTAGGATTTCTGGTTCATTATTGTATGTGACTTCTAATACCTTCTTCTCTGAGGTTTCTGATCTGTCTTGCTTGTTGACAAATATGGGGGCAGCTGAAGGCAGTGTTAAATAGATGGGTATAAATATGAGGGCAATCCGGGAGGTTCCAGTATAAGTATTCTTGTGCAATGATGATGCTTCCATCATGTTCTCTGAATATATAGAATTGGATTTGGTATGTTGCCTATGAAGTGTGTTGTTTATGCCATACTCATTGAGTAGTGTGCCCCCAATCCTAACTTGATATGGAAAAAAAAAAAACTATTTGAGCACTCTTTAGTTTATAATCTATTAACTTAATCAATTGTTCCAATATTCAAGGCACAATGCATTAAATTATGAAAGTTTTTATGTTATCACTTATCAGGAAGAAGAATAGACTACTGAATATTAGATAATCATATGTTAATTGTATATTGGGTATTTGGAATTTTGAATTTCTGGTTTTCTTTTGCTGAATGGCCGAATGCTGATTGCTGCTGCTTGGAGATTGGAGAATGATGCTGATTGCTAATGCTGTTATTTTGCTTTGAAGTTCTAAGACTTTTAACTCAAAGTTTTAAATTTGTAACCTAATATGTAAATTTATATGTTTTGAACTTTGAGTTCTAACTTCTAAGTTGTATATTTGTAAGTTTGTTAATTTGTTTATAAGTTTTGTAAGTTTACTTAAGTAACTTAACTCTTAAGTAGTTAAGTGTTCAAGTTTAAATGTAATTTTTTTTTTTTACATGTTTGATGTTTCAGTGTTTCAACGAAAATGTGAAACATGTAAAAAATTGTTTATTTTGAAGTAAATTTTTTAACTTTCAATGTTTTTTTTTTTTTTTTTTAAAATCGAACTAATCCGACAGATAAATCGGATATCCGTCGGAGTAGTTCGGACAATTATCCGACGGATAATCTCTTAGTTGAACGGATAGGATGTCCGTAACAAAAATCGAAATCCGAACGGGGTGTCCATCCGTCACCCCGATCCGTCCGACGCTCACCCCTACCACTAACCTAGAAAATGTAAAAAAAAAATAATAAATAAAATAAAAAATCCAAACCATCTACTTAATATTGATACTTTATGAGTACGGCCTAGGTGCTAGGCCCCCGAGGAACACCTAGCGATTTTTGCAACCTTGTTTCATACTGTAAATACCTTATCTGAAAGTCACCATAGCTGGATTGATGCAGAGCTTGGAGATCTTCAATGTTGATGTTCGGTTCACTGATTCACCATCACTGCACCTCAGTTAATATGGAATACGGTCCTTGAAGTGATAAAATCACTTGAGTTTCTTCTTTCATGATCAATGAAAATCCAGGTGTAATGAATATCTTGAAAGAATATTATTTTCAGAGTATTTCTTGTTTTTCTATAACTACTTTCCCTCTGAAATATATATACTCTGCATTTTGGTGAGAATAACTATCAAGATATTTCATGAAGATCAATTACTCTTTCACCTTGAGGTTTTAATTGAGATAATAATAAGATCTCCTAATTAAATAAGGATAATCTCGTAAAATACTTCAGGGCGGTTATTTCCTCATCCAAATGTAAAATAGCCATATGGAATAGTTTATGGACACATATGTTACAATGTTTTATTCCACCAGGTCTTCAGTCACGAATGAGTAGCACTAGGTCCTAACCTATCTCTTTGTCAATTACAAAATGAGGTTTGCACAATTAACTACTAAAAGATAATAAGTTGATAAACCAATTTAAAATCGGAACAATTCAAGTAGTGTGTAAGTCACATTTTACTTAAAACCCATCCGTTACTTCCGATGGTGCTAGGAGCTTTGTAGTGTCAATCTCACATGATAAAATGGATTATGATAATATAATTTGAGCATAAATGTTATATTAACTTCGGTGAACTATAACTTTTAGTATAACACACGAATTTACAAGGAACATGTGAGCATACATTTTGGAGAGAATGAACAACATTTTAGGAATAAAAAATATATATTTTTTGAGAATGCTTAAACTATATGTCCAACACTACAATATTTATAGAAGACGATTAAAACCGTAGCACTAAAATGATAACTAAATTTGATTTAAAAATCAGATTGTAACCTCCCATAACGATCATTAATTATAAAAATAACAGCGATTGCAAAAATTAATTATAATTAATTTCATAAACTACCCATAATTAACTTGTCCCATATACGTTACACCAAGAAGTGCACTTGATAAGTAGAACCTACTTTCAAGTATCAACAGATAGTGCTGTCAATACGGGCTGGCGGGGCGGGGCGGGCCAAAGCCCGGCGGGCCGCGGGCCTAAACGGGTGGGCCAAAAAAGCCCGCTCCTTAGCGGGCCTGGGTTTTGTTGGCCCGGACCGCCCCGCCTTTGGCCCGCGGGCTAGGCGGGCCCCGCCTCAAAACCATTTTTTTTTTTTTTAATTATTAACTTATTGGTTATTGTTTTGTTTTGCTAAATTTATCCAACTGGTATTCTGGAATTTAACGTAAAAAAAATTAACATAATCTACTCAATTCATTATTCACACAAAGAAATGATAGAATCCACTCAATTCATTAAACTTTCGCACAACAACACACAATTTAACATAAATGCAGAATGCAAAATGAATCAAACAAAATTGAAGTTGGAGTCTTGGAGAGTGGGACTAGGATTTGTTGTGGACTTGTGGGTTGTGGCGTCTGAACTCTCTATTCTATAATAATATTTAAAGTAGTAAAGTGTAAATATTATATATAATATATAAAAATAAAATTAAAAAAAAAAAACAGGCGGGCTAGCCCGCGGCCCGCCAAGCCCTCCCCACCAAGCCCGCGGGCCTAAACGGGGTGGGCCAAAAAAGCCCGCTCTTTAGCGGGCTTCTATTTTTGAAACCCGCCCCCTACCTAAGTAGGGGCGGGGCGGGCTGCCCCGGCGGGCTAAGCCTGTTTTGACGGCTCTATCAACAGATAAATAAATGCCAACTTCTAAGTGAATTACATTTACACCTCTATGCGTGATAGACCTCACTAATATTTATACCACAAAATAATCACTTAACGTGTCATTTTTAATATTAAAATTTCCAATATTTTGAAACTAATCAACTTAAACAATTAGTCATTTATCAATCACTCATTTTAATTGACGTAAAAAGTTTATAAAGTAATCAAACCAACTAAAAAATTGATAAGTCATTTATCGAACACCCAAAATTGAAATTATATAAATTCATAAAAATAAATTTAAGCATCAAATCAAGATTTTATCAAAAGAAAGGGTTAAAATGGGGCTCCACAAAATAAGTGGGGGACCGGAGTAGTGGTGTTGATCTTGTTCTTGATAATAGAGCGCATGCGCTTTTCCTACTCTCAATATATAAAAGTACTCTATTACCCCCAACACCTATCATCGCCCCTTTCTTAATTGCTGCTACTGATCTTTATTGCGGATAACTAGAGCATCATTATTCGTCGTCATCATATCCAAAGCATGGTCGAGGTTCCCGGCCTTCTCTCTTGCCGACACCCCACACTCAGATCTACATCGGACTCCTAAGCTATCATCATAACCCCAGTAGAATCCAACCCTTTATGCGTCTTCCCCGTATCTATTTAATCTTACAATACATATAGACAGTGGGAGAGCCAGAGAGGGAGTTGTTCTTGTTGATTGGGTTCAACCCAGACGACCCGACAAACTTTTCTGGTGCGGTTACTAACCCTCGTCCCAAATTCCTTCAGTTTTTGCGGATGCCCAGAACCACATATATATTTTCAATGAAAAAAGATTCTTTTTTTATTTTTATTTTTTTTGGGGTTTTAAAAGAATCTGTTGCTTTTTTGGTCTGTGGGGTTGTATATTTCTGGGGAGGAAATTATTTTGTGTGAATATCCGGAACCACTTATCTATTTCTCCTGAATCTTTAAAATTTTGAATTAAAAATCCCCTTTTTCTTGATTTTTAATGCGTGGAAAGATATAAAAATCGTTTCATAGGTTAGCGGTTTTGATTTTCCAGTGTTCAAACGATTGTTTTTTATATGTTTGAGTTTTGTTTGGCGTATGATAACATTAAGATGAATGTTTGAGTTTCTTGGTTTTTTGAAATGCAGACAGGGGGCTGGAGAATAGAATAGAGCAGGAGTAGATGGAATACATGGACTGGGATGATGGGGAAGGAGATGATTTCATGGACGAGTTTGGTGGAGAATACTTTAATTATCATCATAACAATGAGGACAATGTTAACCACGATGAACATGAACATGATATGGTTTGTTGTGCTCGCTTTATTTAATAGATTAATTAATGTGCTTTGGAGAATTGAAGTAGTGATTCTTATCTTCTTATTCATATCCTATTTGTTCTTTTGTTCTTGTATTTTGATTTTACTGTATGTTTGTGTCTGTGTTTAGAGAAGATATGCATTTTTTTTAAAAAGAATTTTATGTTTCAGAGCCAGTCAATCTTGAGAGTATACCTGTTTCATTTAGGCGTTAAACTAGTGATTTTATATTATGTATCCAATTTTGTTGTTCCCTTTCTAAGGTGGTGTATTCAATCAAGACTTTCAAATACTAGACTTTAAAAATTTGGTGGTATTCAATTTAGACTTTTAAAGGCTCTTTAAAAGACTACCTGTATTCGATTCAGGCTTTTCAAAAGTCTTTAAAAGTATAGTGGTATTCGATTCAGACTTTTATACGGTCAGTCTAGTGGTATTCAAAAACTTATTAACTTTCCTAGACTCTATCAGAATAAGATTTGCTTCCTTCATGGTATTGCATTTACACTGATTTTCAGAGCCAATATTGTTCTTTGTGTAGAGTTTTCTTTTTTTCATGTCTGAAACAAACATTATACAGAGCTGATCGCATGCCATCTTATGTGGTATATTGTTCTAAATTACACGCAAAATATAATAGAATTGCATTAATCAACCGTTTTCCACAAGCACCTTGAGTAACACAACACAATTTTTTATATATATATAATTAACATAATTTTATGTAATTGGATGTTTATTAATTATTAATATATGCTTTTGCATTAATTTATTTATGATTTATAAAAATATATTTTTGTAAGAAAATTATAAATAATGTATTAATATAAGCTATGGAGTGTTGTTTGTAAGGGTGTATTCAATTTAGAAATTTACTGACTTCTGTAGGGTTTTTAATATGGAAAAAGTTTTTAAAAGTTTGTCCCACGGATTTTTATAGACTCGTACAAAGTTTGAAAGTTTAAAAGATTCTAGGAAGTTTGGAAAAATTCTGCAAAAGTCATTTAAAATCCATCACTTTAAAAGTCTTAAAGTCTTGATTGAATACACCCCCCTAATTTCCTCTGATTTCTGAAATACTGAAATTTGTTAGTAGTTGTTTTCTTGTATTGAAATTTGTCCTATTGGTCCCAACCTTTTTATGTGTTTTTGATGTTGGAATTTTCATTAGCTTCCCAAAGTGACTGATACATCGGCTGCACAAGCTAGGGAAGGGAAAGATGTGCAAGGCATTCCATGGGACAGGTTGAATATTACGAGACAAAGCATTAGAGTAACTAGGCTTGAACAGTACAGGAATTATGAGAACATACCCTTGTCTGGGGAATCTGTTGATAAGGTATGCACTTGTTTTCTTTCTAGTTTTCATACGTAGTTTATACTGGGGTTTCGTTTTGACCAGTTTAGTGTCGTATTCTTTACTCACATATTTTAATTGGCTGATAAGGAATGCGAACAAACAGAAAAGGGTGCCAACTACTATGACTTTTTCTATAATACAAGAGTGGTGAAGCCTACACTTCTCCATTTTCAGGTGTGTTTTCTCAAAGGTTCTGCGTTTATTTATAGCTTCTTTTCATTAAGTTTTGTCATTTGGTGGATTGCTCGTGTCCAGTGATTCTTGGTGTAGGATGGTTTCTTCTTCTTATTTGCTGTTGAGTGCTTCATTTTCACTTGCTAGGTACATTATTGAGTTACCCGCAACTTTCTTTCTATAGATTTCTCAAGATGGCACATCCATGACTTTCTCCAAAGCTTCACTTTAAAAGAGCTTCTAACTTTTCCCACTTTTCCTGCCTGGAGAAATGCTAAATCAAACAAACACAACCTAAACAGCTAAACTTAAAGTTATTGCCATTTGTTGTCATGCACCCGAATCTGTTTTCTGTTTCCATTGGGTGAAGTATTTTAACTTTTTTTGGGTTCTGATCTAGCCTAATAATGTCTAGTAATGTCACTTTATGTATCTCAAAAGTACAAGACAATCAATTGTGTTTGTTAAAATGGTATAGTGGAATAAATCAAGTTTGGAGTGAAAATTGTTTATGATAGTTAATTTGTTGGGCCAGAAGCAAAGATGTGCACACACAGGCTCTTAAGAGCACAAGTATTATTTTCTGGAAAACTACATAATTATACACTCTTATAGTATGCTTCCACTAGCTTAAGTCTGAAACTAGTGTATGTAAATTCTTATATTCTGAAAGTGACATCTTTACTCATATTCTCTGGTAAGATGCTTGTGAATTTGGTGATACATCTTTTGAACTCTGTATTATTGAAGTGAATAGTGAAAGACACTACACCAAAAGACATGGATTTTGGTTATGTCCTTTTTAGTTCGTTTCAAAATAATGTCCATTTTTAATAATGTCCGTTATATATATATATAGGGTTGTGTTATGAACTTGGCAGATTTAATAATCAGTTGATTCAATCCCGACATGTACATTTGCTAATGGATAATTTCTTATGTCTTAAACAAGCAAACTGACTTTCTCTTAAACAAACCAAGTCAAACATCATTTGTGCATGTATGCAGGTCATTTCTATCCCTTTTGGAAAGTAGAAAGCAATTTTGTAGCGAATGTGTACTCAAGTGCAGTATTATTCTAGTTTTAACTACATTTTAGCGGAAGTGCTCTTACTGCTCTATAAGTTTTGTGGTTCTAGGAAACAATATTCTTTATGGTTAAATATTTGTGGTTTGTGAGTTTGTTGGCATAAAATAATAACACTTTGTTTGCAGCTAAGAAACTTGGTGTGGGCTACTTCAAAACATGATGTTTATCTCTTCTCCAATTGTTCACTCATGCACTGGTCATCAGTATCTCACAACTTGTCAGAGGTCCTCAACTTCTCTGGCCATGTTATCCCAGCAGAGGTACGTACTTGATAAGTGCATAGTTTTCCCGTTCATTTGTGCTGCAGTATCTACTTCTCATAGTACACTAATTTCTGTTCCTTGGAGATGTAGAAACATGCAGGAAGCTTGCTAGAAGGTCTATCGCAAACTCAGGTCAGCACATTGGCGGTGAAGGACTGTTTTATAGTAGCAGGGGGGTTCCAAGGAGAACTCATTTGTAAGGTGATCAGATAGATGTTTATTTTAATACTTCATTTCTAATCCGGCATGTCATGTTAAATCAATGTTCTGAATGATATCATTTCTTTGATCATGCAGCATTTGGATAAATCAGGGGTTAGCTTCTGCACAAGGACAACATATGAGGATAATGCAATTACAAATGCGATTGATATTTATGATAGCATGAGGTTAGATGCTGTTTAACTGTTTTATTAGATCCATTTCCGTTTGATATTATATTACGAGACCTGCCTTACCTTGTATGCCAAATATTTATTTTTTTGTGCAGTGGTAAGCTTCATTTTATGGCATCCAACAATGATTGTGGTGTACGAGAATATGACATGGAGAGATTTCAGCTAGTAAACCATTTTCGCTTCCCTTGGCCAGTAAATGTCAGTTTCCCCACAAGCTTTCTCATGTTACTGTTTTTCTTCTTCGCTCCATTATGTTTTTTTTTTTTTTTTTTGGTTTTTAACTTTCAATTGCAAGAATGGGAAGAAATGACGGGGGTGTTTGGTAAATAGCTGTTAGTGGGTTTGACTAGTTGATATCATTAGTTGAATGTAGAAAAGTGTTTGGTAAATTAGCTGTTAGTTGATTGCATGCAAAATGACTTTCACTAAAAGCTGATCGGAAAAGCTATTTTGAGCAGTTTTTGAATTTTAGCATTTTGGAGCAATAAGTTGTTACAAAAAGCTAATTAATCAAATACTCATATTGATTGTTTAACCAGGTCAAACAGCTAATAGTGGTCAAATAAGCCAAAATTGGCTGATAAGCTAACTATGTTACCAAACATTGCCGATGTGTTTCTAGAATGGTCTGTTTTTGTTTGTAACATGTTCCCGAGTCACTTATGTGCAGTAATAATTTCTGCACATGCTTGTGTGCTCCACATATGGATTATATATACTCCGTATTTAATTAACATGCACATGCATAAAGATTAAGTGAGCTTTGCAAATATCGGTAGCTCATCGGTGTAGATTTTCTGTTTTCTGGTTTCTTGGTGTGCAGCATACATCAATCAGCCCCGATCGGAAGCTTGTTACTGTCATGGGAGATGATTTGGATGGATTACTTATCGATGCCCAAAATGGAAAGGTAACCTAATTAGTCTCTCGATACGGTCCTTGTCGGGCTCCATAGTGCAATCAAATGGTTGTAATAATAATCATCTTAAGAACCAACTTTGTTTTTCAGACGGTTGCGTCAATCGTTGGTCACCGAGACTACTCGTTCGCGTCCGCATGGCACCCGGACGGGCACACCTTCGCGACGGGAAACCAAGACAAAACATGCCGGGTCTGGGACGTGAGAAACCTGTCGGAGGCGGTAGCGGTGCTCAAAGGAAACATAGGTGCCGTGCGGTCGCTCCGGTTCTCCTTGGACGGGGAGTTCCTGGTTGTGGCCGAACCCGCGGATTTTGTTCACATCTACAGCACCGAGGCGAACTTCAAGAAACGCCAAGAAATCGACATATTTGGCGAGATTCCCGGCGTATCCTTGAGTCCCGACGATGAGTCGCTGTACATTGGAGTTTGGGATCGTACATACGCGAGCTTGCTGCAATACAACCGAAGGCAATCGTACAGATATCTCGACGCTTTCATGTGATCTTCGAATGCATGAAAACCGGAAAGCGTGGCAGGAAGGTATATTGATGATTTTTGGCTTCTCATATTTCTGGCACAAGCTTTGTCTAGTGTAGTAAAAGATATATGAAAGTGAAACATTTCATTTTGCCCTTCATGTCATAACATGTGTACAGGAGGATTTGGTAAATTGTGCTTCTCCCATATTTGCTTTTAGTTGCACTTTTGCTTCTTATTTTTGCAAGGAAAATGGATATACTGCTCATTCTGCCAAATATTCTGCTTATTATCCGCAATTTTGGTCAATTCTGTTATACTGTTCTATTGCACATGTTTATGTATTTTGGATATATCTCTTTCAAAAAACTCAAATTATGTCTTGTGATAATTATATTTAAGTATTTAATTTTTGATAACTTAATACTCCGTATTAAATTTGTGTTTTGTAATAATTATATCCAATTATATTAATTGATAAGGAAAGTAATTCAACTCTTTTGAATTATATTGGAAAATGGCGAGTTTGGTCCTTGAGTTATAGCTGTAGTTACGACTTAGTCCCTGTGTTATTATCGTATTCATTTTTAGTCCTTTAGTCATGACTTATGAGAGAAGTGGTGAGTTTGGTCTTTTATGCTAATGGTGTGTTGACAAAGTTAATTCTAGGGGTAAAGAAGTAAATTTCATAATAAATATTGTAAAATTAATCAAAATACTCTCCTCTAAATTGACAAAAGCTCTAAGTTGCTTATGTAATCAGCGTGAAAAAGTTTCTCCTTTTTTTCTAAAAAATCAAATTTTAATATTTTAATTCTATTTATTTATAAAAAATAACTTAAATTATAATTTTTTGACAAATACAAAAATTTGCTCCATGACATGGATGAGCTTGGTACCTTTAGCATAACTCCATGACATTTTGATGGGTAATAAATCATCATATCTACGTCCAAAATTATCTCCAAATTGAGGAAAATATGAAGTACTACACAATTAAGAGATGACATCCTATAATTAATGGTTAAATTACTTTATCAATATGGAGAATATTTATTATTTATTTAAACATATAAAATAGAGAAACAACTCACATGTGAATTTCGGAGCTTGAAAGTTGACAAATTTGAGATTTCAGAGCTTGGGGAAGAAATAGACCTTCGATTGTAGGTATAAGAAAAAAAAAGAATGACGGTTGCGTAATGAGTTTCAACATAAGAAGGTGATTATAATATGAAATTCATATTTTACCCCTCTATTATTAAATTGTTTTTAAGTTTTTCGTTAGCTACACACAGAATATTAACGCTAGGGACCAAACTCGTCACTTCGCTCATAACTGAGAGACTAAACTCCGATACGACCATAACTTATGGACTGAGTCGAAACTTGGTTATAACTCATGGACAAAAGATGCAATTTTTCCTAAAAATAATTATGTGTTTGATTCGGTATTTCCTCCATCCTATTGAAGTAATAAAATTAATTAATTATCAAAATGATTCATTGGCTATTGCTAAATTATGATTTGGTCATCGACTAATATTCTTACTAAGTCTTTTAACTATGTAAACTTTATTCAATTTAGTCTTCGTTATCAACATCGTAAGTCTCCGTTCACATGTTTCCTTACTCAAATTAGAAATATCCAAAATGGTCCATTCTTATAAATTTGGGTGCCAAAACTAATCATCATGAGTCTATCTCAGCTCCTATATACCAATCTTACATCAACCTGTGAGGAGAGGGGAGGCAAATGTCAGACTCGTTATCCGTTGTTGTGTGGTCTTAGATCTTCTTTTCCCTCGTAATAGCTAAGTCAGCCTCGCTTAACCCTCAAAAGTGATGCTAAGTAAACGTGTGAGTAAGGCAAGAATCCCACAAAATAAGTCAAGAGTGTTTCTCTTTATAAGAAAAGTCTTTGACTTCTCTCTAGAGCTCCTTACTGCCAAGCTCATTCATTCACGCTTAATCTTTCTAAAAATTATCCTTATGGAATCGCTTTTTGTCCCAGATTTGTGAAACATTACTATGATAGATTATCCTTAATCTACGGCCAGTGAATATTCCATCAAATGGGCCGATAGAGATTCTTGAGGCTCTCAGGATCATTCAAAATTTTGACCCTTGGCGATCCTTTGTTCCGTTTATCACATCTGGCGAGCTAGAAATGTATAATTTTTTGATGGAGTCCAGGTGGTGGTGGCCAAAATCAAGACCATTATTATTTATCAAGTGTTGAAGATTGTCTACAAAGTTGTCCCGAGTTGCGGTTTGCGAGATGACTTGTAATTTTTTGAGTGTGTTTGTGCCTTTGTTACTGTTGGCTTTTTTTTTTTTTTTTTTTGTGCCCGTTAAAAAAAAAATCCTCGTTGGTGTTTGCGCATTTGCTACTGCTAGTTGATTTCTCTTTTTGTTTTTTTTTGTTGTTTTGGGGTTTGGTCAGTCTTGTTTTGTTGTGGATTTACTTGTCTTTGACATGTATTACTATGATGTATTTTTGTTATTGTGTTGGCACTTGTTTTGGTATACAGGCGGGACAATGACACTATTAATAACGATTTACCTACGGTTAAGAGGTGCCTTAGCCCACCTTGTCGGGATGTGATAAAGTCATGTCAATTCGGTGTGCAGGTGTTAATGGTTTAATGACACCATGAATAACAATGTACCTATAGTTAAAGAGGTACCCTAGCCCACCTTACCGGGAATGTGGTAAAGGCACGTCAATTCGGTACGCAGGTGCCAGCGAAATAATGGCACCACCAATAACGCGGTACCGGTTTATGGCCAGGGTAGTTGAGGTTTGTGCACCCGGAATGTCGCCGTTAGCGGCTTGAATGACACCAGACTTGTTACTTTGTTTTTTTTTTTTTTTTTTTTTTGACCTGAGTGTTTGCATGGACTGCATGAATTGTTTTCTTGAGTATTCTATTTGTCTGTAGTGGTCTTCTGGATGTCTAGTGTTGGGTGGGATTCTCATTTTGTAATCTGGAAGGTTTTGTGACTTTGGAAGGATTATAATATAAAAACTGGTCAGAGCTAATTGACGGAAGAAAGGTGTTCAACCCGCCGAAGTTCAATGCGACGGTGAACCTGCCGAACTTCAATACGGCGGCGAACCCCTGAAATTCAATGCGACGGCGAACCCCAATCATGAATTTGAGTCGTTGCATAGGCCAAAGAGTATTGCATTATATAAAAACACATAAGTTCTTGGGCTTAGACAATTTTCCTATTATGGATATCTTTTGTCTGATTGTAAGGAAATTGGGCTGATGGATCCAGATGTTTAAAATGGTTGATCATCATGTTATAATTGGGGTCAAACCATGGTTGTGTTTAGGCGTGTGATGCTCAGTGGCCTTGTTCTTGGGCGGTAGCCTCAACTTTTGAAAGCAAGAAGGAATTGATGATATATTATTTTCATGGGTTTAATCGGTTGTAGATCGTGACGAAAAATATCTGTGCTGATGAAATAATCTTAGTGGACTCATTTTCATGGGTGTTTTTGCTAGTCTACGTTGATGACATCATCATGATGAGGAATGATGCACTGTTAATCAAACACCTTACTACAGCGTCTAGCATCTACCTTTAAAATCCGAGACTTGGGCAAACCGGGCTTCTTTTTGGGCATCGAGACCATATCTACAGATAGTGGGTTCATTCTCTCTCAACGGCGGTACATGACAGACCTACTAAACCGTGCTGGGATGCTTGACTGCAAATCCCTCACCACACCAGCAGCAGTCACAACATCAGCAGTCCCTACAACAACTTCTTATGACAACCCAACACACTACCGCCGTATTGTTGGGGCACTGCAGTACTTAACGATCACACGTCCGGATTTGTCCTACTCTGTGAACTACCTGTGTCAGTTCATGCATTCACCGACAGATGAGCATTGGGGCATGGCAAAACGGGTGTTACGCTACATAAAAGGCACTATCAGTTATGGCTTGCGTATTACTTCGTCAACGTCAACAGCCATACATGCTTTCTCAGACTCCGACTGGGCAGGTTGCCCGATTGACAGGAAGAGCACCAGTGGTTATGCAGTGTTTCTTGGTTCTAACCTAATATCCTGGTTATCCAGAAAGCAATGAACGGTAGCTCGATCATCCACAGAAGCTGAGTACAAAGCTCTCGCTGATGTCTCTGCGGAGGTTACTTGGGTTGTGTTACTTCTTCGTGAACTAGGACTTCACTCTTCCGAGCCGGCTACTCTTTGGTGTGACAACCTTGAGGCAACTTATCTATGTGCCAATCCCGTGTTTCATGCAAGGACCAAACACGTCGAGATTGATTATCACTTTGTCAGGGATAAGGTTGCCTTTGGAGACTTCGTCGTCAACTTTGTCTCTACGAAGGACCAGCTTGCAGACATCTTCACTAAACCACTCACGGGACCTAGGTTCACGCTTGTTCGCGACAAGCTCAATGTCGTCTCGCACCACCCTTGAGCTTGAGGGGGTGTGTTAATAAGTGTTATAGTATATAGTTTTATATTCTTTATTTGTGTGGTTTAGATTTAGTTGACCTGAGCTCTCTATTAGATAGGAGAGTTTTACGTCAAGTTATCTTTTATCTCTGATGTATTCTCGTTCAGTTGTAACTGTTCAGATAATTCAAACTCTCATTGCTCTTAATAGAATTCTAGATTGAAATGTAATTGTCACAATACATAACATTTGTGACCCCTCAATTATTTTACTTTTGAGTTGAATAGTTGAAAGGAATGGACAAATACAAGCCTCATGAAAAAAATTATTAAAAAAATTTCTAATTATATAACATCATTGATTAAATGTGAGTTATTATGAACAATTAAGGACTAAGTTTGTTCAAATCACCAAAAGGAACTTGTAATCCTTACTTCACCTATAGAAACTAAAGTTAATAAAATGTAATGCTCCAAATTGCTCTTCCTCAATCTTCTGTTTCAGTCTTGTTGATGGAGTGTTGGGTTTTGAGCTATATTTATAGGTGATTTATGATTGTGTGAGTACAACATGGAGTTGAGAAATTGAGTTTGATTTTAACTGGGTTTATCAATGTTGATTAGAATAAGAATTTATTTTTTTGTGCATTCAAAGAGTTACCCATGAAATATTTGTAGGGACGTTATGCCATGGAACCGTGTTCACCATTCATGGTGAACACAGTTCCAACGGTGTTAATACACCGTTATCTTTTTTTTTTTTTTTAATTAATTGCATGACTTTTCTTCTTTATTTTCACATTTTGTGGTTTCACTTTAATTTGAGGTGAACAAAGATTTCGGACATTCATAAATTATGAATTCATGCCTGCACATTCACTTTGGAACCATGCCTACACATTCCTGTCCGAAATCACGGACATTCATAAATTATGAATCCATGCCTGCACATTCACTTTGGAACCATGCCTACACATTCACTTTGGAACCATGAGATTAAAAATTTTATGTTATAAGATTATGAATTTTCTGTTATGAGATTATGAATTTTCAGTTATGAGATTATGAATTTTCTGTTATGCGATTATGAATTTTCTGTTATGAGATTATGAATTTTCATTACATTCATAATTTCGGACATTCATAAATTATGAATTCATGCCTGCACATTCACTTTGGAACCATGCCTACATATTCCTGTCCGAAATCACGGACATTCATAAATTATGAATCCATGCCTGCACATTCACTTTGGAACCATGCCTACACATTCACTTTGGAACCATGAGATTATGAATTTTCTGTTATGAGATTATGAATTTTCAGTTGTGAGATTATGAATTTTCTGTTATGTGATTATGAATTTTCTGTTATGAGATTATGAATTTTCATAAAATTCATAATCTCATAACAGAAAATTCATAATCGCATAACAGAAAATTCATAATCTCATAACAGAAAATTCATAATCTTATAACAGAAAATTCATAATTTGATCAAACGCGCGCCGTTAACTCCACATCCGTGAATTTTTTTTTTTTTTTTTTTGCCTAAAAACGACGTCGTTTTGCCTTGTGTTCACCATTCTCGGTGAACACGATTCCATGGCATAATTTGCGATATTTGTAGTGCCCGATGTAATATTGTCCTATTGTATTGAGAATAGAAATTTTAATGTTGAATTATAATATGAATAGGAAGGTAGAAACAATATAGGAGTATAGATTATGATGGGCCGGCCCAATTAGTACTTTGACGACTGAGCCTATAAAAGTTCTCCTTTTATCAATCCAGCTCGGGCAGTGCAGAGCTAAAACCTCCTTCCCGATTTAGGGCTTCTACTTCGGTTCCAGGCAGAGAAAGAATCCTCCAGCTCAATCCCTTCTCTCTGCCTCCGTTACATTCATGGCGAACGGTACGTAAACCTCAAGTTATAGTTGTATGTCTTGTATGCCTGCCACTGTCTGCTGAAGACTAATGGTGGTGTTAGGTGCAGCGGCGGGGCGATCGTTTTTACAGGTAGCGGCTACGGAGGAGGCCGCTGTGCCGCCTCTCAGAGTTGTTCAGATTGAGGGACTGGTAATCTTTCTTCTCTGCTCTTCGTCTTTATAACACGCTCACAAATTCGCGCTCGCACAGTTATAATACAGAGAATTTCTATACCAGGCCACCGTATGTTGGTGAATTTGTGCAATGCGCTTTTGCTGATACCATAGAAAACACCATTACTCGCGAGACCATAGAATTTTATAAACAATCAAACATTAGATGTTGCAGAAAATACTAATCTTACCAACTAACGGCTTTTAAGGGATAGGTTTCTAGTTCAGCAATTTGTGAATTGTAATTCAATATGATGGTCTAGAATAATAATCAGTGCTAGGCTTTCTATGGTTGAGCCAAGTAACTTACAGTTAATTATTGGGAGCTTGAAACATAAATAGTTGTGTAGTGTTGTTTATTGATGCCAGGCTTGCCAGCCCATTCTCTAAGCAAAGAATGGCTAGAATGCTAGATTCATTACTTCCCAAAATTATTTTGAATCCAAATTCTATAGACATTGGGTGTTTTCAATTTCCATCCTTTTGTATGGTATATATTCATGCATATAGACACACAGATGCTCACACTAATGCACTCTCTATTGTTACTTGTATCAAATCTTGTATACCAATTTTTGTTATTTGATTTGATGTAGCTCTATCTAATTAACTCATGGTGGGGTTGGCCTACCTTGCTTTATGTTTGCCTTACTAGTTACTACAAATCCATTTGGGAAACACATAGGCTCATTAATTGACGACTGCTTCAAAATATGAAGCTTAACTGCCAATTAAAGATCTATCTTATAGCATAGAACAGAACTATGGTATAATAATAAAAGGCAGAGCATTATATGTGTTTACCCTTTCTAAATTTGTTAAGCATAGATACAAGTATAGCTTTGTTTTTATGTTGCTGTAGCATGTTTTATCCTATGTACTTTTTGTTTCTTCCCTTCCCCCCTCTGGAATAGCTAATTAATCAACCTTATGGGCTTGCAATATTATTTGAATGAATGCATATATTTCTGTTGTTATGTTTGGCACATAACATTCAAATTGTCTTGTTATGTGGGAACAGGTAATTCTTAAGATAATTAAGCATTGTAAGGAGTTTTCTCCAGCTTTAGTCACTGGACAACTTCTTGGATTGGATGTTGGAAGCGTCCTAGAAGTTACCAACTGTTTTCCCTTCCCGGTCTGTGGCATGCACTTTTTCCATTCTCTATGATACCCTAATCTCTGTTTTTTTTTTATAAGTTAATAAATGCTTTCTTTTGGAACCTAAATGAATGATAGGTTCGGGAAGAAGATGAAGAGATAGAGGCTGAGGGTGCCAATTATCAACTTGAAATGATGCGATGCTTGAGAGAGGTTAATGTTGACAACAATACCGTTGGATGGTAAGTGTTTCCTTTTAGTGTGTTGTGTGAACCTATGCAATTCAGTGATTATTAATCACTCATTGACTGGGTAGTGTACTAGACTAGTCACCTTTGGGATGCTAATCTGCTTCAAGTTATTTTTTTGCTCTAAGTGATATATGAAGGATGCAAAAAGTTGATCTATCACTGTATCTTATGTTTTATATATTTGACAAAATAGACTTTTTGAGTCCACCAGAATTTTGTTCATGAGACATGGAAGAGCATAACACAAACTTATTCCTTTTATAGGTCACAATTCACAAATAATTTGGTAATTTTTCTATTTTTCTGTATATTTTAGGTACCAATCTACTTTATTTGGTTCATACCAGACTGCTGAGCTCATTGAGACCTTCATGAATTACCAGGTAATGTCGTTATCTGACTTTTGATAATTGTAAAGTAAATTCCATGCTTTATTTTAAAAGTAGTAATTTTCACTAGGTAGAAGAATGAACAGAACATTTTATATGCCTTTATGCCCGTGTCTTCATTTTCTCCTAGATTTTGGTGGTTTCTGTTTATATGATTATATCAACATTTTATATGCCATTATGCCCGTGTCTTCATTAGGATGAAAATATTTTGTTGTAATTATTAGGCACATTGTGTTTAATGGTCAAAGGAATCATTGATAGGTTTGTAAAACTATGAACTACAAAGGTGAGTCCAAGTTAGAGAAGTGTTAATTATAAATTAGTTGATGGAAGTTTACCTTTTAGGTATGTTTAGTTCTATTCAGATGCCTTGAAAATAAAATGTTGACAACTTTAGTGGGATGAGTCGGAATGTTAAGAGAAAACATCTATTCTCTGTACAAGTTATAATCAGCAGAGCACCACAAGATCTTATAAAGTTTTAACCCTCTCAATTTTATTTTAATGCTTGTAATTTCTTTTACTTTTAATAATATTTAACTAGTGAGATGTACACCCTTGCTTTACTGCATTTTTTTTTTTTCCTTCCAGATGTCTAAGTAGAGAGTAATTCCAAAAAGCAGTTTTTAATGACTTACTTTTTCTGCAGGAAAATATAAGGCGGTGTGTATGCATCATATACGATCCTTCAAGATCTAACCAAGGTATCCTGGCTTTGAAGGCCTTGAAGCTGTCTGACTCATTCATGGAACTGTACCGGAATAATAATTTTACTGGAGAAAAGTATGTGCCCTCTGCTATCTTTCTTTTAGCCTTCTACTCTCATCTCCCCTTTTGGATAAACCTTTTGTTAATGTTATGTTAGTTCGCTTATGTATTCTTATTTATTGTTTATATTTCTAGGCTGAGGGAGAAGAATCTTTCATGGGTGGATATCTTTGAGGAGATACCTGTATGCTCTCTTCTCTATCTGTTCATCTTTTAACACTATTTTTTTTTGTCAATTTTATTGAAAGAATAATCCTCTAATGAAGTTGGCATATTGATAGCTTTATTGCTGTTTATTGTAGGCTAGTATTGTTCTCTTGAGTCTTTTTTATATTTCTAGTCTTTAAATGTTACTTAAAAAAAAAACCTAATCCTCAAATGCTTGTAGGGGTTTTTGCTAATTTGTAATTGTCTTAAATTTAATTGTTCCCAATTTTTTTGGGTCAAATGTTTTAGTTTCTTCCAAATGTTTGTGCTAGTTCCTATACGACAGTTTGTGGGATAGTAATGTAATAGTCTACCTTAAGATATGTATTAGTCTGTGACTCTTTGCTTTATGATCTTTATCTTTTATCTACTAAACATTTTAGAGTTGTTCAAAGTACTAGAATTGCTCATTAAAATTATTTTCTATTTGGACTTCTGATCAATTTTTCAATTCTACAGATAAAAGTTTCAAACTCTGCTCTTATCAGTGCCTTCATGACTGAATTGGAGCCAGATACACCTGTAACGCAGGTAAATCGAATTTATATCACGTTTAAGTCTCTGACTTGATATCTATCTTAACAAATGGTCACCTAAAACTTAATTACTTTTTTTTAGTGTGATTTTGATCGGCTACAATTATCAACTAATCCATATTTGGAGAGAAATGTGGAATTTTTGACTGAATGTATGGATGACTTGTCAATGGAGCAACAGAAGGTTAGCCATTCTTTCTTGGATCTATGTTACACTTCAGTTTGCAACTCCTATCTAGCTCAACAATCACTTGACAAGATTGGTTTTACATTTGCAGTTCCAATTCTATTATCGCAACCTTTCACGCCAACAATCTCAGCAGCAAGCTTGGCTACAAAAGAGGAGGTATTTTGTTTTGTTTAATTCTCAAACCATTTAGTAAGTGTGGCTGGCTTTTTTACTGTTGTCATCAGCATGTGAATAAGCTTATGGATGGTAATTTAGAAGAGCATGGGGGTGTTTGGTAAATAGCTGTTAGTTGATTGGGTTAGTGGGTTTGACTAGTTGATAACATTAGCTGATTGTAGAAAGGTGTTTGGTAAATTAGCTGATTACATACAACATGACTTTCTCAAAAAGCTGATCGAAAAAGTTTCTTTGACCAGCTTTTTGAATTTTTGTGTTTTAGAGCAATAAGCCGTTACAAAAAGCTAATGAATCAAACATTCATATTGGTTGTTTAACCAAGTCAAACAAGCCAAAATTGGCTGATAGTCTAACTATTTTACCAAACAGGGCCCATATATGATATATATATAAGCTAATAATGTTATTGAACAAAAGAAGACGAACATCTTTGATTAGAAAAAAGAAACTCTATTAGACAAAACACTTTGATCTATAGCTTTCCAGGAGAGTATATCTTTTAAAATATGATATTTTACTGTGGTGTGTGAATTGATATAGGTAACGGGCAATACTTCATTAATAAATTAAATACTTATTTGCTGGAAAAATGAAGAATCGATCTTTATGTTGATAGGAATTCTTTCTCTATCCTTTAAAGTGGCATAATTTTTTAATTATAAATTATTTTGGATTGATGTTTTCAGGGCTGAGAACATGGCACGTAAAGCTGCAGGAGAAGAGCCACTTCCTGAGGAGGATCCTTCTAATCCCATCTTTAAGCCAATCCCTGAGCCATCTCGATTAGATAGCTTTCTCATCACTAATCAGATTGCAAACTATTGCAATCAAATTAATGGGTATGTTTCCATTACAAGAACAACCATTGTTTGCATCTCTTTAACAGTGCTGGACACCCATTTGCTTGTAGGTGCTTGTGCATTTTGAAATTCTACTTCATATCAATTTGGGTGGCTACATATTGAATTTTCACACATCTTGCTTTAAGATTAATAAAGGAAATAGAACTAAACTATGATAGAGTTAAGTAGGAAGATGAAAGTTTCATTTACATTTTGAAATTCTACTTTATATCAAATTGGGTGGCTGCACTGAATTTTCAACCACATCTTGCTTTAAGATGAGTAAAGGAAATAGAACTTAACTATGTTAGAGTTAAAATGTGGGGACTAGGAATTCTGAAAATAGGAAGATGAAAGTTTCATTTAGTAGCTCAATGTTTGTGTGTTTCAAATAGTATTGTTTTTAGCTTTTTCTGTAATGGCATACACTCGACTTTTCATGGGGTTTTCTCAAAGTACGTATGGTGGCATTTACACGCTCTTCAAGTGAAAGTGAGGTTGCACACTCTTCTTTTTATTTTGTCGGATCATCATGTTTCACTTTGTTTTTTAAATCATTAAAGTTATTTGTTTCCTATTGGAAAATGGGTGATGGTGTAGTTGATGTTAAGCTATTCATTATACACTGGTTTTTATTAAAGACCTGTTTCACAGGGCAGCCTAGGTATGCACATTCCTAAGGCTGTCTTTCCCTGTAGGATTGGAAATTGGTGTTAAATGATGGCATATTAAAGACCTGTTTGTTGGTATGCATTGAGATATTGTATCTCTCCGGGGATACCTTATTCTCCATTGATGAGTATTGTATTTAATGTATATACCTTACCTTGACCTTGCAGGGTTGCTGGCCAGAGTTTCAACAGAGTGTATTTGATGAAGGCTCTACATGATAATAATTAAACAAAGTATGAAGGAAGGGTACATTGACAGTTGAAGCCTTATTGGATTCAATGTTTAGCCTTTGTTTTGTATTTTCTCTCTTAATTATTATACGTAGTGTGTTGTGCTAGATGTTATCTTTAATTGAAGTACTATGAACCGTTATTAGCCTTCCAATTAAGGCCGGAAACATGAATTTTGTGATTTAGATTATCATTTGTTTGTTGTCTCCTTTTAATTGAAAGAAAAGCTTCCTTTAATCAAGGACAAGAAGTTAATACCAGCAGATTGTCTCATCTAGTTCTCAGAATTATGATATTTTAGTGTGTCTAATTTATTACTTTTTTGGCCATTGAGAACTTAAAACCGAAGAAAGATTAAATTTGACACATCTACTAAAAAATGCAGTCAAATTATTTGTCAAGATTTTGAAATGCCATTAAAATTGTGAACTAAATATGAGATTAACAACAAAAATAATAAAATCATTAGTTTTAAACCATTTGAACATAGCCATAATCTCAAGTTGCATGTTTAAATTTTGGATAAAGTTGTATGGCAATATAACTTTGGGTTACCATCAATTAGTGGACGTAGATAAAATGAATACACTTATATTATCACATATAAAGGATGGTTTACCTAATACAAAATTTGCTCCGAACTTGATATATTGTCTAAAGAGTTTTACTACATGGACTGATGAACTCGGATCAAAATTTCAAGTGAGTAGAATTAGGGATTCAACTAGTATTTTTCATGGTCTAAAACAAACTTATAGTCAATTAGGAAAGGAGTTGTGTGGGGAGAAACATATTGGTGATTCTAAATGTTACAAAGTAAGCAAGCGGAACGAGTGATGATACAATTACCAAAGCAATTATATTATATTATAACGTCCAAACCAAGAGAATAAAAGAACAAAGACTGGGATGTCGGAAAAATATATGCTAGCTAAGCTTAAGTGAATTCAAGAATATTTCCAGACTCCAGTCCAGAGGCTGAGGCTCAGTATGGTTCCATTCTGTTTGGAACAGGAGTCTTGATAACCTGCAAGATCTGCACCACTTCCGCCATGGAAGGCCTGCTCGAAGGTATCTGGGAAGTACACACCAAAGCCAGCTTCAAAACAGGCAACACTTCCTCATCAGGGTACCCACCCATCCCCTGATCCACACACTCCAACACATTCCCTTGCTCAAGCAACACCCTCACATGATCATTCAGGATCAAAACATTGTCCTCCCCATACTCCACCGGCCTCCTCCCCGTCACAATCTCCAGTATCAGCATCCCGAACCCATACACGTCGCACTTCTCGTTCACTCTCAGGCTCTGGCACGCCAGCTCGGGCGCCACGTACCCTATCGCCGCCTGGAACCGGTTGCTCATCACGTGCCTGTCCAGCTTTGCCACCAGCCTTGCCAGCCCGAAGTCTGAGATTTTCGGGTTCAGGTTTTCGTCCAGGAGAATATTGCTGGGCTTGATGTTGTAGTGTATGATTGGGGGCTGGCAAGAATGGTGCAAATGTGCTAGCCCCTTTGCAGTTCCCAATATAATCTTGAACCTAACTGCCCATGTTAATGGAGGAGTTGCCATTGCCATTGCCATTTCATGGAGCTTTGATTCCAAGTTCCCTAATGGCACAAAATCTGAAACTAAAAGCTGGAGCTGAGGAGTCCAGTAATAGCCTCTCAAGGGGACCAAATTCTGGTGCCTGGCTTTCCCCAGAACTCGAACCTCGCGATCAAAGTCCTCCGGGTACTGCAAAATCTTTGAGCTTGTGAGCTTCTTTATTGCCACCACTCTGCTGCCTTCACCTCCCAGTGGAGCCTTGTAAACGGTCCCGAAAACGCCTTCCCCGATTTCTGATGCCTTGTTCAGCACCGATTCGAAGGTGCTGCTCGCCCAATCCGGGGACGATTTCGTGTCGAATAGGATCAGCTTCCCAGTAGCCATGCCTTGGGACCTTGAAGAGGTGGAGGAGCACATGCTCTCCAACGCGTTTTCCACGAACGAAATCCGCCTCCTAACCGAGGCATTCACCATGGTTATCACCATCACACCAACTGCAATGATGGCTGCAGCTGAGATTGCAACTATGGCTGAAACACTGAGGAATCTATGGTGCCTTGAGTTCCTGGTACTTGCCAGAGGCTCATTATTATCCCCCCCATTATTATTGTCAGTCTGGTTTCCATAAACAAAGGGGTTGATGACTATAGGTTTTGGGGCATTCATTTTGCAGGGTCCTGTCAATAAGGGGGAACAAATCCCATCATTCCCCTCTATTGCACTGGAGTCTAGATTCTGGAATATACTCCCAGCCGGAAGCCGGCCTGTGAGCCTGTTGTAGGATACATTCACTGCCAGAAGGTTTTCCAGTTTGCCCAGCTGTTGGGGTATTTCTCCACTCAGTTGGTTAACCTCTAGCTTCAGAATCTTCAGCCTTTTCAGCATTGAAAGGGTCTCAGGTATGGTGCCACTTAAATTATTGTGTGATAAGCTCCTGAAAACAAATTTCTTGTTACTGAATGTCTTTAAATATGAGATTCACAATACAATGTAATGTGTTGGGCAGAGCCCCGCCAGGCGGCTAGGGGATTGTTGGGCAGAGGCCTAAATGGCAAGTTCAGCACCCTGCCTAGTGATGAAGCGTTTAATCTTATTAACAAGAGGTATTAGACTTAGGTCACGGGTTCGAGTGTCAGCAACAGTAAAATCTGTGTAGTTAAGGCTGGCAAATGTGGGGGAATTGTTGGGCGGAGGCTACTGAACGGCCATGTCCAGCACCAGGTGACTAGGAGATTGCTGGGCGGTAGCCTAAGGGTTAAGTCCAGCACCCTGCCTAGGGAAGAAGTGCTTGATCTTATCAAACGGTATCAACTTAGGTCACGGGTTCGAGTTCCAGCAACAGTAAAAGCTGTGTAGTTAAGGCTGGCAAGTGTGGGGGAATAATTGGACGGAGGTTGGTGAAAGGCCAAGTCCAACACCAGGTGACTAGGAGATTGTTGGGCGGTAGCCTAAGGGCTAAGTCCAACACCCTGCCTAGGGAAGAAGTGCTTGATCTTAACCAGCGGTATCAAACTCAGGTCACGGGTTCGAATCCCAGTAAAAGTTGTGTAGTTAAGGCTGGCAAGTGCGAGGAGAATTGTTGGGCAGATGCTTGTAAGGAAATAAAGTAAAGTTGCGCCCTTCGTTAGGAGTTATAACTTTTAGTATAGCGGGTAAGGACAATGTTTTGCCAACACACTATATCAACATTAATCATTAATGCTAAAATTAAGATGAAACTTACAGCAAGGTGAGAGAGGAGCAATTTCCAATCTGAGGAGGAATAGTGCCAGTCAATGAATTCCCATCAAGCTGCAGAATTCCCAGGCTGCCAGATTCACATATATCCTCTGGAATCTCCCCAATTAACGCACTATTCCTAAGATCCAACACAGTAAGATTCTGGGAATACACCACCTCAGGGGGCAATCTTGAGTGAAAGTTATTCCAAGAAAGATTCAAGTATCTGAGCCTGGAGAAGAGCCCCATTTGTGGTGGAATATCTCCACTCAGATTGTTCCCTGACAGGTCCATCACCTCCAGAGACTCAACCATCTTCCCAGAACCAGGTGGAATGGAACCACTCAACCAGTTTCTTGACAAATCCACTTCTTCCAATCCAATCCCAAACACCCCCTCTGGAATCTTGCCTGTCAACTTATTATCATTCAACCTCAAATGTTTCAAAACCTTCAACCCTCCCAATGTTTCAGGGAGTGACCCTTTCAAACTGTTCCCAGACAGATCAATGTATTCCAAGCTGGACAAGCTCCCTATCCATTGAGGAAAATCCCCATCAAGGAGATTGTTGGAGAGGTTTAGAAACCAGAGAGAATTTAGCCTTTGAAGGGACTCCGGGATTGTTCCGGTGAAGAGATTTTCACTCAAATCTAGCCTGCTGAGATGTGGACACAATCCTAAATCAACTGGAATCTCGCCGGAGAAATGATTGCTTCCTAGAGAAAGCTCTTTTAGGTTGTGTAGGAATGAGGCGCCAATGGGGAGTGACCCAGAAAGCTCATTGTTTGAAACGTCTAACGTTCTCAGCCTCGTCAACCCCCAAATCCCGCCGGAAAACCTCGGGTCGCCGGAGAAACGGTTGTTGGAAAGGTTAAGGTGGTTCAAAAGCGTGCATTTGGAGAGGCTACTAGGAATCGGACCTTCAAAGGAACTCCCCGCCAAAGACAGGAACCGAAGGGAACCCAAATTCTCCAACATGGAATCCGACACAGGCCCCGACAGCGAATTCCCGGAGAGATCGAGGAACTGGAGAGAACTCATGTTCCCCAGAGAATCCGGGACGGTACCGGAGATACTGTTCTTACTAAGATTCAGCGTTTGGAGATTGGTCAAGAGACCCAACTGCGGCGAAATGACGCCGCTGAAGTTGTTGGACGCCAATGAAAGAACGTTGAGATGCTCCAACTTCTCGAGCCCCCGGCCGATCTTCCCCGACAAGCCCAATCCATGGAGGTCCACCTCGGAGACTCGGCCGTTGGCGGGGTGGCATTTGACGAAGTTCCATGCACACGGAGAGTCGTCGTCTTCGCTCCACGTGGCGAGGTGAGAAGCCGGGTCTTGGACGCCGGATTTGAAGACGATGAGCCCCAAAACATCATCGTTCAGCTGCAGCGATTCGGCGCCGCCGGCGCCGGAGGTTACACTTAGAACCGACAGAAATACGAGGAGGAGCATGGAACGGAAACCCATTATGTATATATATAAATTAAAGAGTCTGATAAGGATTAATAATGGCGGACATACATAAACATGAGATCGAGAAAAGAACGTTGATCTGAATCGAAGTTCAATGATGAGAGTCCATTGAAGAAGGAAGGAGAGAATGAAGTGAACTGTAGTGCTGTAGTCACGAGAGAAAGATAAAAGATAGATAGACTAGAGACAGAAAATGTGAAAGAGAGAGAAAG